TCTTGAGGTTTATTTTTACTTTTCATGATTGAATTTATAATTATATTTTTTTGTGTTAAATCAATCTAAATTATATTTCATTAAAAAAAATATTCTAGTATTTTTTATAGTATTAGTATTTATCAATAGGAACTCCAAAAAATAAGAGAAAAACACTTTAAAACTATTACATTGTTTTAGTAAAACTAAAACACTCTCATTCATACTTTAAGAAGATTTTTTTTTTGTCCTTTTCAATACTAATTTATTAAAATGATGTAATTTTATAGTATTTTTCCTCTTTTTTTAAAAAAAAAAATTGACTAACAAGCACATTTCTCTTTTTTTTTTTTCATCATTCTTTAATTGATCATTACATGAATTATTACTTTGATATTTTATTTTTTATTTTAAGAAATACATTTATTTTTAATTTTTGTTGAAAATATATCAATAAAAAAAGTATATCTTTTTTATAAGAGAAAGAAGATTTAACAAAATAAATAAATAAATATCTTAAAAAATACTTAAAGACTCAAATCTTCAACAATAATTTTCACTCCCCTAACTAAATTTCTTCACTCCATCCACAGTTACAAGAAACTGAACTATTCCCTGATTTCCTTGAAAAATGAATGTTCATATTTTTAGGGTGATTATCATGTTTTGTTTTTCAATGATAGACTAAGTAGTTACATTTTCCTCCGTTTAGCACAAGACTAAGTGCACCTACTTATTATAGCTTCTAATGGTTATAGGAAAATTCTATTCAAATTTCATATACTGTTGGTGATGGTAATTTCGTAAAGTCTCCTATGACATGGATAACTTTATTAGATTTCAAGAGGAATAGGAAATTCAAGTCTTCTATTGCTATATTATCATCATTTCTGAGATTTCAAGCATATGTGAGCATGCTCTTATTAAAGTTAATTATGATATGCTAAATAAAGTTTCGTTAAAAGTACTTCAGAAAAAATAAAACTTAAGAAATTCTTGAATACTTACATCCTCTCACGCCAACTGGTCGACCTGCAGTCCGAGTTATTGGCGCGGAACCAATACCAATTCAGTTCGAAGCCCATTAGCAGATCATCGTAAATATCAGAAGCAGAGAGGCCTGAGATATTGGATAGCATGACCGGAAACTGGGCTTCAATTTTGCATGATTCATTGAAATCCGAAACCTGTGTTTGGGAATCATTGAAAAGAAAAAAGTAGGTGTGTGGAGAGGAAGAGCTATTGGTGCAATTGGAGGCATCCACATAGAGTGCTGAGTTCATCCTCATATTGCAATTTAAAACATACATGATGCTATTCTCGGTGATAGACATAAAATAAGACAGAGCCCGACATGGAAATGAAAGAAGAAGGGAGCAGGGAAAGGAACATTTATTCCTATCGAGACTGGGATCTAGCAGTCGAACTGTCCGCTTCTCATAAGAGATTTCCTTCACAAAGAATTTTCCGCATGCACTGGTGTGCAACACCGTGCGGTTGTTCTCGCAAACTAGTTCATACTCTGACTCAGGACACTTGATAGGATCACTTTTCAACCGGAAAGGGGGACTTACAATGAGGCTTCCACAGGAAGAAGGGACACAATGAGCCACACAAACATCAGGAAAAAGAGACAAAGCAAGGGCCATGAAGCCGAACAGTACTATAACTTTTGCTCTTGACATCCTAAAGCTAGAGTATTAGCACATGAGAGGTCTTTTTAAGGATATATAGGAAAAACTCTGATGATAACAGATACGACCCAATTATGCCCCCCACCCAAAAAAAAAAAAAAGAAAAGAAGAAAGAAAGAAAGATAGCGGCCGGTACCAACTGGGTAGCTCTCAGAGGCAATAAAGCAAACACCTAGAATGCATATTACCTAAACTGATGGGATAACTACACAAAGAGGCCTTCAAGTTGCTGAAAAAGTGAAGAGTACCCCTCTGCTTTGGCCGATTTGATTTTTAAAGGACTTGAATGGTAGAAACACTAGGTTTCAACCTCCATGGAAAAGGAAGCTTAGAAGTTTCTTCGCATATTTGTTGCACAATTTGTAGCTTCCGTGAAACTTAATTCAGAGGGCCAATAATCAAATGGAAACATCCAGTTCAGTTAAATTTCTGAACAGAAGCTCTGAAGTAGTTTCCATCAAGTTACCTTCTACCTAACAGCCTACACAGGCTTTTTTTTTTTTTTTTAACTACAGTAATTGTGGGGTAGGGAAGGGATGATATTACGAGTGTGGGGCCAGGGGCCAATTCACTGGAGCAAAGTGGCTTTTGCCACTTGCTCTCCCA